TTAACTGAAGCAAAGAAATCATGAGGCCATTAAAATGGGCACTAAATTCCCTAGGTAGTGAAAAAGTGATTATTTGTTCAAGCTGAGGCCTTCAACTTCTTATTATTCCAGTCAGGCAAAGTATGCGAAGAAGATTATTTCCTTATCCCGGTCAGGTTGTAAGACCAAAAAGTAAAGAAATGTAAAACACTACTCTTCTCTAGGATTGAGAATGCATTTTCCCAGATATTGAGTAATGATATCGCAATCAAGATGAACATCAGTAAAATTCCTTTAACTAGGCTTGACTGCTGAAAGATATTAGGAATTACCCAACAAGACTGAAAAGTCACATAAGAACCTGGGGTTCACCATTAGTCGTCTTCTTCTACACAGATGGATACAAAATCAAAACCAAAAGAAAGGAAGCATTGAGCAAGATACTGGATCTAAGTAGGCAATAAGTACCTCAGATAGTCACAAAAAAATAATCAAGAATATGGATAGATAAGTTCTTCAAATGGTTAGGAAGAAGAAAGATATCCTAGAAGGCTTGATTTCTAATGAGAAGAGATTTCTAATAGAGGTCCTTTGAAGGACATGAAGTATTTTAATTTTCTTTTTTCTTTTCATTTTTATGTAGTGCGCTTGTACATTTTTAAATATATCCTTTTCTTTTATTTTTCCCTTCCTCTTTTGTAATTTCTCAAATTCAATTCCTTGGAGGATAATAAATAGTGATAACCTGCTGACAATGATGGGCAAGTTAGGAGGGTCTTCACCCAAAACTTATTTCAGAACAAAATATTGTTCCCAAGGTTGCACTTAGAGGCTAAAGCTCTTTTGAGAATTGTAAGCCATTGATAAGTGTGTCAGTATGAGTCTTTTAGTTTAGCCATGATGCAATTGCCCTATGTATCTCTATTAATTTTCTTAATGATTAATAAACACACAGTACTGGCCAGATCACAGGTATTAAAAAAAAAAAAAATAAGCTATATAGATTAACTTTATATTACCAAAGACTTTATTAATATACTATATATAATAAAGACATACCATGCTAACCTGACTGCAAGTTAAAAAAAAATAATAATGAATAAAATAAAATCAATAAATATTTTAATTAAACAATAATTATACTGTAAATTATAAAAGTAATATATCTAATTATAGAAATAATTTTGTTAGCAAATAAACAAACAATATCATGAATTCATATCACATTTTTGAAATTTTATATAACACTAACCAGTCTTGGCAACAAGCCACGAGTTAGATCGAATTTTAATATTTTAATTGATTAACAATCCATGTATACTTAATCCAAACAAAGTAAGGCTAAAAAAAAAAACTTTGTACTATTGATTAAATTACTATTTAAGTTTTGCATTTTGTATTTATTTTTGAAATACTGTATTATTAAAAATAGTTCTTTCAAATATTGAATACTGTATGCTATAGATAATTATCAAACAGCAAAATCCAAGGAATTATTATATTCGATAATTAATATTTTTCAAATATATTTGAAATATTTAAATTATTTTTTTATATTAAGGAACACGTAAAGTGATATGAAACAAATACTAAGAGTTGATCTAAAAATGAGGCAAGACCAGAATGCTTGCATATAATGAAATTTTTATGTCATGAAGAATAATAAATAAAGGAATGAATGTGACTATGTTAATTTGACTTTCTTTTTCGTTTCATATACTGTATACTTCTTTTTGTCAAAATATGTCTCGTATGTTATTTTATCAAGATTTCTATTATCTTTTTTTTTTTCCCTTTTTTCTCTTTTTTTTTTTTTTTTTTTTTTTTTTTTTCTAACAAACTATGTTCCGTTAATATATCAATATATACAATAAAACTTCTCTTTTAAATAAGGCTATCTTTTGTCTCTGCTAACCCCTACTGCTCGTTATCTTCTCCACCAAATTACTAGCATAGGTGGCATTGATCTTCATTTTCTCCTTGGTCACCGCGGAAAACGATCCACAATCCATTAAATGAGTGAAACCTATGTCAAGAAGATATGAAGACAATTTATTTTTGGAGATGCCGGTGGGAATTTTTGTTTTATGGTCTGACGAGACAATGGTGTACATTATTGATTGAACAGAGTCGAGGATCGGCAAGGATTCGCTGTTGTTGATAATCTGTATCAATTTTGGAAGTAGGCTATCATAACTTTAGATAGATAAAAGGAAGAGCATAGTAAGAGTTAAGAATGAAATTTGTTTCGCGCTAATTTTTACAAGAAAATAATAAATGCATTAAAAAAGGATACGCCAAGGAAAACACTTCAGGTAACGATACAGCAGCTTCAGCCAAGAATCCATAAAGGAATAACCGTTCAGGTTCCTGATCAGCGGTTTGCAACATTGCCACCATAATTGATATCAATAGTAGTGCGGTCTGATTATCGGGCATCTCGAGTTTTTCAAATATTTTATAATAAGTCGTGCCCAATTCCGAATTATCAATTTCAATGTCGGTTATTCCACATTGCCACAACAGCTCTTTCATGTCCGCATTTTTCGCTGATGCGGGCAATAAGGCGGCCAAATATCCCAGCATGCTCGAATGAATAATGTTTCTGGGTAGGTCGCTTTGTCTTACTCTTTTTGCCGCAATGTCCAAAAATGTGGTTAACACGGCTTGCGTGCCGGTTTTTGTCGACGGATTTTTTAATCCCTTAAGCAAAATCGCGGTCACAGCAAATGAGAAATGTTCGTAATTAACACCTGCTTCTTTGTCCATCTTTTTAGCGACCTCCTCCAATGGTCTTCGGGCTCTTAACAATACGGTGGCAATATCTTCTTCAGCAAAGAAACCATTGGAATCCAACGCTTTGAGCATCACGTGAAGCAAATTAACAGCACTTGGGAATAAAGGAATGTGTCCTATCTGTACCAGAGACATGGCCAGCCAAAACATCTGTTGCAGATACCTACAATCAGGTTGCAGATTTTCCACTATATTTGTCAAACACATCACAATACTTATTATTAGAGAACATTCGTTCTCGCTGAAACAAGACAGCGCTCCGGTCAGCGCTACCAGAATTTGATATAAAAGATCGTCGTCGACTTCTTCGCGAGCCAAGCATCCCAACGTCACAAATGCCCTAGGCTGTATTGCGGGATTGTATTGGAATGCAGTACTGGCAACTAGACCCATCCATCGAGCTCTCCATGTATTTGACATGTCTGTTCAAAGTTTTATACGAAGAACGAGTTAATATTTAAGATAGAATCAATATGCGATATTGATATCGAACAACGCTTACCAACAGATCCAGCCCCACAAACCATAACCTCTAATAATGCTTGGACGATCTTCTCCAGAGAAGCAAGTGGCATAGTATCATTTATATCAACAATTGACTCGGGGGATACAACGAACGCATTACCAGAAACGTTGTTTAATCCAAAGAAATATCGGAAGTTTGGTTCCGACAATTCGGTCAACAACAGATTCAGTCGTTTAAAGCTCGATTCACTTAATGGCATTGAGGTGCACAAGGATTGAACTAAATTTACAATTAGTCCATGTATGGATGATCGGATCAGTGGTGGACCGGTTGCGACGAGCAAGGAGATCACATAGAATAATTCTGGCAGATAGAGCTGAACATTTCTATTGTTGAACGACAGCATCAAGTTGAATCTTACGAGCACTGCAATCTCGGGCCAAGCAGGATTCTCGGTCAGGGTTTTCGTAGGCTTTTGCGAAGTTCTTGATATTACCTATTAAAAAAAGGTTATTATCACGTGAAATGTCATCGAACGTGTGCGACAGAAACTTGAAGCATACTTTTCGTAATTTAGCGAT